GTGGTGGTGAAGGCTTCTGGGAGTTGAAGTCCAAGAACATCTGGAGGGCCACAGTTCGACACCACTGCTCTAACCCTTCATTGACTACTATTTTAAATGATACCAGTGGCAGACACTTCTATAAAGATCAACCTAACTTTCCTTTTTCTCAATTCAACCCCTTGCTGTGTCTCTCATCAATATTTACAGATAAATGATGTGTGTTCTACTTACTTGACCAGAGACACTTCACCTCAGGTCAGTCCAGTTAAACAAATAATTTCAAGTATGCTATATTTTTCTGCATGTTCAGTAATCATATAGCTGAGGCTCTGTTTTCTATATCTTCAGTAATCATATATCTGGGACTCTATTTTCTTGCTTTTTAGTCATCTAATACATTGGAGGATCTATGTATTATGGTTCTAGAACTTCTACAGAAGACTCAGGTAATGGCATTTACTGTACACTTGAAACATGGTTGTTTGTGCACCTTGCGTAGTGAGGTGTATTACAATTAATATCCATTCAGCTATTAAATACTGTGCAGTTCCCTGGAGGAAGGATGTGCTGGTGCGTGTGCATGAAAAATGCCTACTGAAATTTTGAAGTCAGGATACTGAGTAAGCTTTTCAGTGGGCAGAATTCTTCATAACTCCCCATTATTCCCCATAAGAAATATGAAAAATAAGTAAAAATTCAAATTTCTTTATTTGCAATAAGGTGTGTTTTAGTAATGAATTCTGAAAATGAAATTGTGGCATAATACAGTGGGGTCTTGACTTAAGAACGGCTTGAGTTAAGAACATTTTGACTTAAGAACCACTCTCATAGGAAAATATTGACTTGACTTACATACTTAGATTTGAGTTAAGAACTGAAAAAAAACCACGTGGGAGGCAGGGAAAGTGCAAAATTTGAACTTTCAGTTAACTGTTGGCCAGTGAAAAGGGTGCCTGTCTGCTTCCTCACTCCTCCCAGCGTTTAGAGAGTGGATTGGGAGAGAGTCTTCGGACTGCCTGGGACTGCCTGGACTGTCTTTTCCCTGCTTTCCCTGAACCTTTCTTGACCTAAGAATAAAAAGAAACAAAATATCCCCCTCTAGTGGTCGAAGGTGGAACAGCAGCTTTCCATTAGTTTCTATGGACGGAAAAGAGCAGATACGGATCAAATGGTTTTCAATGCATTCCTATGGGAAATGCAGATTTGACCTGAGAACTTTTTGACTTGAGAACCGCCTTCCAATACAGATTAAGTTCTCAAGTCAAGACCCCACTGTAGTTCAGACATCTTTTGAAAACCCATGATCTAATTCTGTTCTTCAGCTCTAGAAAGAAGTTGCAACATTGAAATGTAAACTTCTAAACTAATTGTAATGAATAAATGGGCATCAATACAATATTGGTATTATATGGCCACTATGACTAGAAAGCAATAGTTTTCTTAAAAACAATTTTTTATTAACGGTGAACTCCTATGCATGTTTACTCTGAGGGTAATCTGTTACAATTTAATTGTCCTTATGTGTACATGGATTATAAACAAAGTTCCATCTAATTTTCAGCCCCGCTGGGCAGGGCTCTGCCCCTTGCATGCATGACTCTGCTTCCCCTGCATGAGATTCTGTTGTAACCAGAACCAAAGGGGCTGAAAATGATCGCTGTGGGTGTGTGGAGGAGGAGGAACACTGCATGGAGAGGGGTTAGAGTTGTGTGCACATGCACAGATACACACCTCAGAGAGAACTTTGATTATAAATTATAAATATATAAACAAAAAATAATAATTTTTGTATTACATTGTTTTCCCTCCACCAAATGATCCATGTCCCATTATTAAACAATTATGCCCATATTTCCACAGGATTTAGATGAAAAGGACAACACCAAAAGAGTAAGTTTTTTAAAAGCAATCTTTCAATTATGTGTTCTGCCTGTCTATAAAGTCATACCACATTAACCTGTCTCAAAGTAAAATCCACTTCTAATTTCTTTAAACAGTTCTTATTTCATTATACTAAGACCCATGAAACAGGCAACTCAAACATTCTGGTAAGTTGAAATGCCCCCTTCACTGTGAGTGAACATGTCTGCATCTAGAAACAATACATTATCATTATTGTTTGGATTTTATTTAATCCATATAGAAAGAGAAGAAGTCCATAATCCCTGTTAGTGTTTTAAATGAAAAACCTTGCTTATAATCTAGCTAAAATTTAATGTAGAAAACTTAAGAATCAGTAAAAGACGAAATGGATGAAGACTATCTCTGCTACTAACTAAAGCAGGAGTGGGCAAAATATGGCCGATGGACTGCATGAAACCCCCAAGGTTAAAGAAATACTTGGAACAACTTGTATGTTTTAAAGTTAATATTGAGGATGTATATTCATACACACACTAGTTTTTTTCCAACACAGGTTAATGTTTATTAAGAATTTTGGCTACACATGTTGATAAACCATGTACTGAAATTATCTTCAGAAAATATTGGGTTCCCAAGTATAAGTTCAATGTTAGTGCCAGATAAAGTAAACATAATGAAAGTAATGACACCTGCTAGTCACAGGTGACAAAATTTCCATTGAGTTCAGTAGGTCTACTCTAGTTCATATTAGGCATAGCCCATCAATTTCTCTTTTGGGTTTCATCAGAAATAATTAATCTGATTCCATCTAATCCTAACAAGATAAAATATGATATAATCAAGTTTAATCATGCTTTAGAAGTGCATGAAAACAGTTATTTACACATACATGTACACCTGTATTCTTTATCACACATCTGATGGTAGATTTATTTGCTTTCTTTCAGTTTGTAACATAACCAGTGTTCCATGTTTATTGCCACTACTGTCTTAGCCTTCATGTTCTAATAACCAACAGAAAGAAACTGCTCCAAATACTAGAATGCTATAAACATAACGCTTGTTGCTAAAAGCAAAGTAATTGCCATAAATTTGCCAAGAACTCTGGTAGTTTGCCCGAGATGCAAAAAAATGAAGGTCCGTTTGTCGGTGGTGTGTGTCTTCAAGGCATTTGTGAACAACAGAGGTAGTGTATTCTATGATGCTCATTGTTTTCTACCGCTGTCAGGTTTATGTGTTACCGACAACGAAAAGAAATGAGAAAAGGTACACCGAAGTTGGATTCTCTTTTGGTCATAGTATTTAAATAAATGCTGAAGTCACTCTGAGTGCCATTTCTTGCCAAAAAAAATTATGGGAAATAAATGTAATAAATACATACAAAGATTTAAGTGAATTTTTAAAATAAAAATAAACATATTAGAAGTCCTTTTAACCTATTAAAGAGTTATTGAACAGTGGGCTATATTTTACTTTGTCATCTTTCCCTTTGGCCCTAGCAGAACAAAGCAGATAACCCTGCAATGATGCCTTTTATGAACAGCATTTGCATCGCCTATGCACATCTACTTCATAAAATGCTTTGTGGTTTTAATGAGAAGTAGTTGGAAATACATTGTGCATGCATAGTGCAATTTAATTATACCAAATCTCTTGATCCCCAAATCTAGAACACAGCACATGTACTATGACACTTGCAGAAGGACAGAATTTGTCCAGTACTTGGGTTTTGTGAGAATGCAGATATTCATGGTCAGACGCAATCTGTGGTGAAGAGGAATACAGTAGAATTCAAGCAAGCAGAGATGAAGAAAATCAGGAGCTAAGAACTTAGAAAGTAGGAAATTGCTCTATGAGTTGTGTCCAGAAACCAATGGCTGCCTTTTTAGAAGTAAAATGACAAAAAGCTGCCTTATGTCATTCACTCACAGCAAAATTATTATTTTCACTATAATCACAGAATCCCATTGCGAGCATGGATGGTGTGCTGGCCGAGGGATTCTAAGAGTATAAGATCAAAAAAGTACACTTTTTCCTATCTGTGCTACAATGGCGTATTGAAGGATCAAAGCCTGAGTTGCCAGTCAACCATTTTGGTATCACTGTGATACTTCAGTCTGCAACGTGAAATCTCAGGAGTAATGTGTGTCTGGTACTATGGAGAATTTCTGGAGAGGGTTATAGAAACGAAGGGATGACAAGTGGAATCAAGAGAGCAATCTGCTTGATCAAAAATAAGTAAGATGTACACTTCTTTGTGACTGAGTGATGCCAAAATTATAAGAATTATGCCATTGGTTCTTCCTGGCCTGTGTTTGCATTTTATCCCTCAGATGGTTCCTCTGTCTTGTGCTTATGCTGGAAGTAGGAGAGATGGTCTGTCACCAAATAGCACATCTTATTACAGTAGAAGCAGCTACGGATATTTTGTCAAACTTATGAAACAAATGCTACCATGAGTCCATTTGAAAAATCCAGTCACCTCCAAAGAAAAGACTTGTGGTGTAACATTTCTGAAGGAAACTGACACTGAAAGCAACCTTGAAAATGTATACATGGCCATGTTAGGAGTCTTTCATCCTTTTGCTTTGCATGTTCTGTTTGTGAATGAATGCTGAAGCAAAGTATTTTTGTTTGTTTTCTGTCCTGAGCTCAATATTTCATGTTGCTCATGTGTCTATATTCATGTCCTCTCAGTCGTCTGTCCTGCATCCTTTGCTGCAACTTGTTCCTCAACTGCATGAGAGGAGACTGAAGAGATACAAAGAGGACGTATGTAACTTTTAAACTCTGCACACCAGCATTCCCTTTTTTTCTTTCTTTCTTTTCTTTCCCTCTTTCCTTCTATCCATCAATTCATCCATCCAAAAACTAATGTATTTATTTAAACAATCATTTTGTGGGACTTGTTCATGCTTGTTAAACTCAGAAATTCTACTCAGGGAAGTTTATTCCTTAATCCTCGCATTGCTCACTTATTCCATTTATTTCAATTACTCTAAAGTCTGTCTTACCTTGGATCCAACGCATCAATATTATTATGTTTTATTTGGTTTTTTGTTTGTTTGTTTGTTTGTTTGTTTGTTTGTTTGTTTGATATACTGCCCCATTCATGCAAGTACTCTGGATGGTTTACAAGTTCAAACCTAACTCTGAAAACCCACATAACAAAATGCATTCAACAATATGGTGATTTTTATGTTTTATTCAGAAGTATGATATTTTGCATGCTATTTTCGCTTCAGAAGTTAAATATATATAGAGATGGCACTTTAAAAAAATTATACAAAAGCTTTTCTTGTGCTTCTTAAAGAATGATATGCTGCATGGTTTTTCTCTTTGCAAGAGTTGTATTAGTATATTGCACTTTAAATTGGAAAAAAACCTGATTACTTTGCATAAAGTAACATTCCTGTTGAATGGCTCAGTTTTGTGTTGGTTGGCTTACAGAATCATGCTTATGATCCTGGTACTATAGCTGCACAGAACACAGAGGATGCTCTTCACTTGGTGTTATGACCTGATACTTGGCCCAAGAATAGAAATATCACTAGTAGTCGCACTGCTGCATCCCTGGTTGCTCCCTACCAGTATCTATGAATGCCATGCACAGTAGGAGAGGAGGGTAATGAACGACAGCATACAGAACAGGATAGAGCTGGGAAAAGCTACTTTTTGGACCAACTCCTAGAAACACCTAACATGGCTAGCCACTGACCATTCTAGTTGGGCGATGCAGAGAGTTATAAGTTTAAAAGTTACTTTTTGCAAGTCCACAACAAGGAGCAGAATCCTCCTGCTTGAATTTGTGATTTGAAGGTAATCAGCATTCTACACATAATAGCATTCTCACACCTAAGGAGCAGGAAACAAAAACATAAATCTCTGTACAAATGTTTGATTTTATTCCAGCCTTAAAAATACTTGCTGTTATCACAGAGAGGAACTGGGAAAAGGTATCAGTGAGGGGGGTGGAGGTAGGGAACACATGGCAGCTGTGCTGCCACACAAATGACTTACGATGAAAGGGCATGAAGATGACTTACAATGAAGGGGTACAAAGATGACTTATGGCAAAGGGGCATGAAGTGCTCTGTCCCCCTTCATCATAAGTTGTCTGTGTGACAGCACAGCTGCCACATATTCCCTGTCCCCACTGCCCTCACAGACATCTCCACTCACCAACCAGCACATGTTGTTCCTTCCCTCCCCATTGCGCAATCTTCCAGTCCAGTCAGGAGCTGGGACTTCCCTTCTCCACCTCCTCCAGCAACTGGCCACTCAGACAAGGAGGCGGGGCAGGGATTCCTGCAGCACTGCCTGCAAGTGACCAGCTGCTGGAGGAGACAGAGAAGGCTAGTGCAGGCTCCTGGCTGGATTGGAAAATTGCATGACTGGGAGGGAAGGGGCAATGTGCGTCAGCTTGTAAGTGGGGGTGTTGGTGATGGAGTGGGGCAGGGAAAGTGCAGCAGCTGTGCTGCCACACAGATGACTTATGAAGAAGGGGCACAAAGCACCCTTCATCATAAGTCATCTGTGTGGTAGCATAGCTGCCCATCTCTATCTGGGAACATTACAAACAGCTTGGGGGCTCTCAGGTTTCACTCTTTTTGTTTTTGAAGCTTTACCAACTCAGTTCTAAATATGCTTAGTTCATAGCAATAGACTCAGTGAGGTTTACTCCCTAGCTACTGGTCAGCTTATGTTTGCAATCTAATTGCACTATTATATTTTGCATGCTATGTGTTCCCCAACATAGAGGTGGCAGATCTAACCTTATTACATTACAAAAGAACAGTAGAGTGAAATTCTTGTCCCTTTTCAAAGATTTTAAGGTATTAAATGGGACTATGTTTTTACCAGTGTAGGATGCCATGTTTGTCTTAAACTGTCAATATGGAAGAGAGGAGGGAATTTCCTTTTTCTTTTATTTGTTTATGTAACTAAAACATGATAGTGCATCATTAATAGCCGTAAAACCAAATTACAGTGCAGCTTTTAGCTCAGATTTTAAGTTCTGTTTCCTTCCATAAGGCTTTCACCTAAGTAGGCAGATACAGTAATTGCAAACTTTATTGGGTTTTTTAATGTGATAGATTTTGTCAGCATCCTTTCAATTTCTTGCATTAATTAGACCTCTCTAAAACAGCTTTGAACATCAGGGTTCCTTAAAGCAAAATACTTACTTGAAAGAGATTCTGTTGTGGTTTCTCAGGCTCCAGTGGGAACAATCAGTAGCATACTTGAAGGCATTGGAGAGGGTAATGATTGCCTCTTTTTTTCTTAAAGACCATCAGGGACCACTGTAGAGAAAGGTTCAGCATGTTTGTAACACATCTATTCATAAGTCAGATCTTCATTTATGAAGTATTGAACCTCATTATTTTGTGCAAAAAAATTAAATAAAAATCCATTAATTGAACTGGTTTTAATCAGTAGGGAGATAGAAAATCTAATTTTTCCCCTGGCCCCACAAACAGGAACTGATTTAAATAGATTTCTCTCACGTTTCCCATTTTATAATTTTCTAAACAAGGCGCCTACCAATTGATATGAGAGTTAAAGCATTTTGGCTTTGATATAATTTCACTTTTTTGTCTCATTACAGTTTTCCTCCAGAACAGAACCAAATCAGCTGGCATACACAAAAGATACAATAACAAAACAAACAATATGAACAATAAAAAGTAGGCAGAAGTGCTGCCCTACAGCATCAGACATTACATATAGAAGTTTCTATCAGTGATCTAGATCAGTGGTTCTTAACCTTTGTTACTCGGATGTTTTTGAACTGCAACTCCCAGAAACCCCAGCCAGCACAGTTGGTGGTGAAGGCGTCTGGGAGTTGCAGTCCAAAACTCCTGAGTAACCCAAGGTTAAGAACCAGTGATCTAGATCTTGTGCCATTTTGACTTTAAAAGTGGGCAGCTGTGGCTTTCCAGATATTTTTGGTCTCAAATGTCCATAATTAATCACCCATGGTTAATACTCCTGGGAATTGTAGCCCCAAACATCTGGGGGGCCACAGCAACCCACTCTCTGCTTTTAAAGTTAAAATCATTTTCTGTTGACCCTAGAAACAATTAGGTAATCATTTAAATCAACAAGCTTGGAGTAAGTTGTCCAGTCAGAACAATGGTATTCTGTATCTGTGGCATTTCTGGATGATTTACAAAGCATGATACTTCATCAAATAGCAAGTCTAACAGAGTGGAGAACACAGATCTTGCTCATACTTTAGATTCTTATGCTTCCAGTCCAACAAATACTAAGTCTTTCCATTAAACAAACAATCTGATCTGAACCTGAAAGAAATGGCGCATGATAGCATAGAGTAGGGCCTCTCACTGAGTCTGAAGCAAGGCTAAAATGACCTAAGGGCGGTTTGAGACTGTACCCAGTGTGAACTCCTACCTGAGGGTAGCAAAGCCAATTGATGCTGGCCCCAAGCCACACACTGATTCCATAAACAGCACTATAAGAGTATCAGGTCTCATGAAAAACCTGTCTTCTCGTGTCAGGCTAAAGCTAAGGCAACACAAAGGGAAGTATAGCATAGGCATCCTTCAATCTCGAAAGACTATGGTAACATGCTCTGAATTGAGGAGTGTTCCCTCCAGAGCATGAAGCCTGGGTAAAGTAATATGGAGGATAGGCTGTTACCCAAGCAGCAGATCCCCCCTCTCCACGTTGCTGAAATGGTCCAATGGAAAGGCAAGAGCCAATACGACTGGTTCCGGCAACGTCGCAGGAGTTGGCAGAACGACAAGAACTGCCTTCGGGACTCCAGCTCCGGATTTTGCCTCTAGGTTAACTCCTGAAGCCTTTTCCATGAATGGATATAGCCACAAGGCAGTGAGAAATCGGAGTTTTCCTTCTCCTAGATGGGCTGCCTTCCATGGCTGATGAGCCCCACCTACCTGGCCTGCTCTTTAATAGTGCAGAAGTATGATCCAACCTTTACAACTTTCCTGCCTCCCAGGTGTATGCAAATCTAATTGGCTTTCCTATTTACCATATTAGGGCCTGAGATACAGTCAGAGAATTTGAGAACTACCCATATCCTACCCATCATTTTAAATTGTTTTTCATTTCATTAAATGTTAGCTCTGTTTTCTATGAACAACCTTCCACTTCTCCTTTCAAAGCCTTCAGATTCTTTTAGTTCTGTCCCATGAGGCATGGAACAGATAATTAAAAATGAACTATCCAGCACCTCATCACTTGCCTTTGAGGGCAAAAAGATGGAGATCAGAACAAAGCATTAGTAAATGACCTACTGATAAATATTTCAGAACTTTTTTGTCCCTTTAGGAAGAGAAGAATTCAGAAATATATTTTATCACAGTGATCTAAGGCTATCAAAAATTGATTTGGAAGCAGTTAGGTGAAATGGAGGGATTGGAAGGAAAATTTCAGAAAGACAGCAAACCTGGACTTACTTTTGAGTCAATGGGATAGAAATGCAATGTGAAACTGGATAGAGAACACAATATGTATCTGATAAATTAGAAATAGCAGAGTCAGGACAGACTGCTTGAGATGTTGTAATAGCTTTACATTTAAAAAAACCTTGGAGTACATGGCTAATAAATAGGAAGCGTTTTGAAGTGTGTTTGTAATATTTGTATTAATGCAAAATGCCAGCTCTTTTATATATCAAAATCTGCAGGACTAACAGCCCCCATTCTCCTGATCGCTGCTTGTAATCTTAGACACACATCTATAAATATTTCAAATTTACTTTTTGCGTGAAGTATGTTCCAAAATTGAAACAAAAAGCCCTTAAATTACTTGGTTGCATAGTTTATAACTGTTCATTGCTTAATTTTGAGGAATCTGTGGGCTAATAAAATAGACTCCATTGCACAGAAAGGAGACAGACAGACAGACAGACAGACAGACAGACAGTGGTGCCTCGCGTAGCGAGGTTAATCCGTTCCGGATTAACCTTCGCTATGCGAAAACATCGCTGTACGGATCAAAGAAAGCCATTGGAACACATTAAACATCGTTTAATGCATTCCAA